GGAATGATGATATCTCCAGGGGAGTTCTCATCGATCCATGCCTTGACCTTAGGAAGGTACTTGTTCTTCTGGCGGATGAAGTCGCGTTCCGACAAGTTGATGACGTAGATTACGGGCTTAGCGGTGAGGAGCAATAGTTTGTTGATGATCTCGACCTGGACATGAAAAATCGTTGTCAGATATGCATTCCTGGAACTGCAATCCAGTAAGGGTGGCAATAAGAGAAGAGGATGGGATCAGATTAAAGTTCATCTCAGGACGACTCAAGCGTTGTATAATAGTGCCGATCGACGAGCTGGGATTAGTTCTTCGAGCAATAATGCTCTTTATCATCACGAAAACCATCCTCCTCAATTTAACAGAAGCAAGCTCGACAAAAAAGAAAAGCACAAAGCTCACCTCCTTAGGACCCCAGTTACCCTTGCGGACATCCTTGCCATCCTTCAACAAGGCCAAGATGCCCTCCACAGTAGCCTGCTCCTCCTTTAACTTCTTCATTTCCAACGACTGACCACCACGTGCGGTGAGCTTCTTCAAACCCTCCAGGTTCTTCTCCACAAACTCGATATCCTTAATCCTCAACTCCTCACTAATAATCCCCAAATCGCGCACCGGATCGACGTCTCCCTCGACGTGAATAATCTCGGCATCGTCGAAGCACCGAACAACCTGGAAGATAGCATCGACTGCTCGAATATGCGACAAGAAAGCGTTACCGAGTCCGGCTCCGGTGGAAGCACCACGCGTCAGTCCGGCGATATCGTAGACAGTCAGGTTTGCGGGGACTTTGGACGCAGGCTTTAGTTGGAATTGCCCTCAGCTCGTATCACTCTGGAAGATGGGGGAAGAAAAAGAGAAACGATTGGACTGTCCAATTCAGGGTCGTGAAAGGGCGGGAATGGCGAAATACCTTGTAGTATTCACATAGCCAGTCATACCGCTCGTCGGGAACGATAACGCGTGCCTCCTCGGGATCAATGGTAGCATACGGGAAGTTGGCGGGGTTGCCGAGAGTGCACTTTGTGATTGCCTGGAAAAGCGTTGATTTACCAACGTTTGCGAGTCCAACCTACACACCGCAAGCGCATCAGTCTGAATCCCACGAGACCGGCCAGTAGTAGCGGGAGTCGGCATACAATTCCACTCTTGAGATTGTTGCCGGGCCGACCGAGCAGAATCTTCTCCTCTTTCACGGCCTTCTTGGGAGGCATTCTTGTCTTTGTTGAACAGAAACGGCGGAACTAGAAAAATGACGTCGGCACAGAAGACCGGCCGGGATTGATGAAGAAGACGGGGATGTAGTTGAGGGTCGTTGTCTTTGCGATGAGGGGCTGCACAAGATGAGGGGTAACTCTTCTCAGCCGCAAGGCTGAATCCCGCCTAAGATCCCACCGGCCAAATAAAGCCACCAATTACCCGGAAGAAAATATAAAACCACATCCCGGCCGAAATCTTTTTCCTTTTCTCTTCAACTCATTCAGGAACCCTCTTATTGTCGGATACATTTCATTTACCATTGCTGTTTCCTCTACAGGTGTTTCCAAGACGAATTCCTTTTCTTTGGCTCTGCTAGCTGGAGCTTGCTTAGGACTCCTTTCGGAGGTCTGATGAGGCTATGTTTCCTTACCAGCGGTGCTACATCTTTTCATGTGTCGAAGCGCAATGTTTTCATTACGTGCTCTAGAGTACCCCCAACCAGTGCCCAGAGAGATATCGCAAGTGCTATAGTCGACGGTGTAGAACTGTGTTGCGGGACTCCACTCGTAAATGTACAAAGCCTTAAGGGACCCTCGCGTCGAAAAACTTGGCGTCTTGCGCGTCGGTTATAGCACCCATGACGTTTTATCAAGTGCTCGCCAGATCATCAGTTTCAGGGCTAGGGTTTGAAACCTCTCTGCATGATGAATCGAAAGGCAACGTTATGCACGAACATACCCGCAGTTGAAGTGACGCAAGAGAAGAAATGACTTCTGTACGTGTAGGAAAACTCCCTCCATTGATTAAGTAGATTAGTTTGTTTACCAGTACTGGTTGTATACGCCGAGAAGCCTAGCACTCTCCTACGGCTATGGCAGACTTCTCTAATGTTGCATCGCGGGTACAATCAGCACGAGTGACTTTAAAATAACTTCTTGAGTTCTTACCCACCACCCGTCTCGCTCCCCTTCTCCGCCACTACCAACACCAATACCACCGTTTATCAGCATAAGTAATTCTAGTTAAGTCGACTACTACCTTTAATCAATATTTTGACCTTATCTAGATACAAGGGCAAGCAGAAACGAAACAAGAAACGAAACTTTCTCAGTGCCGGCACAATATCATTGGCATTGCAAGTAATTCATTTAATTTTTCAAGAGGCCGGCCGGTCAACTTCACCATGGGGTTAGCCCGTTACCAAGAGCAACTGAGGGCCAGATTTGACAGCAAGTGAAGGTGCTTTATGACTGCCGCCAATTCCTGCCATTACATGAATACCTATTGCTAGAAGCCATCGGGGAAGCAATTGGTATCTTTTGAAATGGGGGATGACAATACGTCGTGGGATAAGTAATGGGTGATAAATGCGGAGGGAAGTGTGTATGTACCTACGTTGCGTGCACTTTACCCCACCCCCTCCTCATTTTTGGTGGTGGTGGGGCCATGGGAGTCACTATCGACATCGATATCTAGAAAGTGGCAAGGTACTTACTCATGAGGCTTGGTCTCACCGCTTTTCAGCTGCAGCAGGCGTAGTGGTAAAGTTTGCTATGGACTTGTCAGCTGGCAGTGGAAAGCGGCCCCGTTTGCTAAGTGGGCCCCAACCTCTTCACGCGGTCGGAACATATCTGTGTAAGTAGGGAGGGCTTCCTAACAAATGAAGAAACTGATCATGAACCTACAATGAAACACTATCACTGGTATCCATATATCCCAGTATCTTCTTTTCCATCTAATCTACTTAGGGCTATCCAAGCCGTAACTTCCATCTACTACGCCAGTAAGCAGTTCGAGACTAACTTCCATCTACATCACATCTACTATTGGACAGTCGTCGATCGCGATCTAAACTCTGTGATTTCAAAGAGGAATACTTAGGCGGTCAAAAAGTTTTGACATCCACTTCTAGGAAAGTGCCCACAAAAATGCTCCAAGTTGTGTCAAAACTTTTGGACCGCCGAAGTATAGCAATGCTGAATGAGATCCTGGAATGCCCGCCAGTAGGATATTTTTGGTGATGGGCGTCAAGTCTAATGCTCGAGTCGAGCTGCAAAAGTTCGAGTCGGCTCAAGTCGAAGAACCAATAAGCCCAAGCTTTTGCTGGATGTTTATTTAGGATGTTCCGGTGACCGACCCATCAATGAATTCGAAACAAAATCTTGAGAGACTGTGGACACCACACATTACATTTGGTTTGGCCAATGGCATGGTATATCCCACGATTTCAGGGCGAAATAATCGACCGATTTTGCTCCTCTAGAAATACACATACTTTGATTCTTGAAAGCTCGAGCATTCACCCCCGTCAGTCGAGCCGGCTCGAGCTCTATCTCAACACTAACTAGATATTTTTAGTTAGTGATCAGTACCCCGAGCTATCTCTCATTTCTCGCAAGATTGCCAGACGGCTGGGTGTATTTCAAACTTGCGTTCTTGAAATTCGAAACCTAGTTCCAAAGTTTAGGCTTGTCTACAGAATTCTATGGAACCCTGATCACGAGTGCCAGATATAGCGAAATTACGGTACAGCACCGCCCGGCCGTGACTTTTGGCTGGGCCCAGCCGGTCATCTTGCCATATTCTACTTTAGATTGTCAAAAAAGTTTTTGACGCCCAGTTCTAGGTCTCTATTTTTTGACACTCGTCTATAACGGTCATTTTCAGACATCTGTCCGTACGAAACCGTAATTTTTGTTGGGAGAACGGTAAAAATTAGATAAGATTAGTACACCGCCCAAATCATTACCTAGCTCACAAACTTTATCGTGTGTAACGAGCACTGAAGGCAGCTTTTGGGTAAACGAAACGCCCGTACAAAACATTGACAGTGACAGCCAATATTGGTGAGAAAGAGGAAGAGGAGAAAAATTATGAGAACCGGTGGTGGTACGTTAATTTTCGCTACAGTGTAGTACAATTTCATGCATGGCACCTATTACTCGTGTAGGCAGGTACTAAGGTACCCCATGGGCCCCACGGAAACCTTAATTATAACTCTACGTGAACTCCATCCAGCACATTCTTCACTTTCAGCATCATGTTTCACAGCGTGACAGCTAGAGTATTGTATGCTATTCGACTTGACTTGACTGAGGGGATAAAAAGTAGAATTCTTGTATTCGCATTAGAAGGTGGGTTGACAAAAAACGAGGAGTGATGTGAGAGTGAAAGTCTGGCAAATTCGCTCTATTTTTTTCTCCTTTTTTGCACCCTTAGTTCGTCCCATAGCCAGTTTTACAGTTTATCGATTCGTTGGGAATTCGAACACCCGGGCCATGATCTTGCGGACGAATTCGAAGTCGAAGAAACCTAGATTGAACTTGCGGACACGACTACAGAGAGAAAGTTATAGAAACATGCCAATGTTTAGCGGAAATCTTTTTTGAATTTCGAGGTGGTGTGGATTATTTGTTGTAGGTGCACTGGAGTACGGTAGACGCATGAAAGATGTCGGGATGGATGTTGTGAGGGTGAGTCCGGTGCTGTGTCGAACGACAGCGGGGATAGTCTGCCGGGACACTTAGCATTGCTCTGGCTGCATCGTCGACAACGGCCGCCCACGACACATTCAGCGGTGCCAGGTAAAATACAAGCTCTGTCAGGTAAAATACGAATAGTACCAGGTGCATACACGCACTCTATGTCCTCAACAGACTTCTGGAGTGTATCGAAACATCTTGATTCCAGACCTCCTCCCTTCAACTTGACTTTCCACCAGAGCTCCTCTTCCTCTCCCAACATTCCTGCTACTTTTATCTTTTGACAGCCCGGCCAAAGATTTATCGTTTAGATCGAAATCGGCGGATTGTATATCAACCCCCCTCTCTGTCCCTCCCTCCTCTTCTCGTTTTCTCTCTTTCCATCCTTCGTTCCATACACATTCTTCTCTCGCTCGCTGCAGAACAGATATTCTCAATCGATATCACCAACTTTTCAATCTTCAATTTTCATCTACCAACCACAATCACCATCATTATCATTATCATCATCATCACAATGCCTCGCGCTCCTAAGTCTACCACCACCACTCGCGCCGCTAAGTCCTCCACCATCCGAGGCACCACCACCGCCGCCGCCAGAGGCACCCCCACCACCCGAGCCACCACCACCACCCGCGCTCGTAGATCCACTCGAGCCACCACCACTACCACCACTACTACCACTACCACCACCCTACCCACACCCCCATCCACGCCCAGGCCCAGCCTCATAGTCCGCCTCCCCTTCGACAAGTCCATCTTCAGCTGCTGGGTGCAAGTGCTCGAGCTCCGTTCCATGCTACGTGAGCAGAACGAGATGGCCAGGGCAGCAAGGATTTTGTGTGACGTTTTTGCTGCCGATACTGGGATTACTGTTGAGAAGAAAGAGGAGGAAGAGGAGGAGGAACAGACGGAGTATTGGTGGTTTGTAGAGAAACTGGGGGAGAAGATGGAGAAGTGTGCGAGGTGTTCGAGGTGTTGGGAGATGGTTAGGAAGGAAACAGCTGAGGGACGGTGGCAGAAGTTTTTGGGGACTAATGATCCTTAGGTATATGGTGAGTGGTAATTATTGGGAGATGATAGAATGTATTGCTAATTGGTTTGTAGCTCGGTTTTGGTGTTGGAATTTGGTTTTGGGGAGGATTTGTTTGTTTGAGTATACTTAAGCTTGTACGAGTTGTTTTTTTTTTTTGTACTTTTGATTTTGGAATTGATGATGTCTTTTGTTTCGTGCGTTACCAATCAAGTACAATTTTGCCTTGCCCATATTATCACAACAGTAGCCGTGAATGTTTTCCTTCCTTTCCTTTCGCCGGTGATGGGCGGCGAGTCTGGGGGTACCGGTAATCTCAGAGTTCGACTAATCTGGGCCCATGGGGTCCCGTGCTGGGGGAAAGGTTTAACGTTAATAGTTAAAGTTAATACTTTATCCATCGCGGACCCGTGACTCCGCCCAAAACTTCCAAAGTTCTCCCTCTCAGTACTGGTAGATTATTGGTGGTCTTTGGCGTTTGGAATATATTGGAGGTTGTAGGAGGTTCGAGGGTCGGAGGTTAGAGGTTGAATTAAAGTGCGGCGGCTCGGCACGCACTCTAGCCTTCCCGTCGCTCCGCATGCGCAATTGCGTAACCGCGGAAATGCCTGTTTTCAACGTCAACGTCAATGCATTCGGTCGATCGGGTCTCCCTTCGAATCACCAAGAAGGGCTGCCGAGTCGAGTGAAGTTGACTTCACTGTTAATATGGCCACACACACATACACAGATATATGTTCTGTACGATACACAACCCATAACCACTCGCGACCTAGGATGTGCCAAATCGCAATCAGGAGACGGTTCGCATCTCGACAGCCCATCTGCGACCTGGAAGCCAACCCACGACCTGCAAAGATGGTGATTGCTTGCATGGTTCAGACACTATGCTTGCAATCGCAGAATCCAGTCCCATTGTTTGTTGGTTCCTCTGAATGCGAGTTCAAAGGCCATAATCTGCTGGTGTGGAATATTTCACCCGAAGATGTACTGTCTTCGAGGTTCACATTTGTATACAAGATTCAATGATCAGTGTAGAAAGAAGTAACACAAATTCAAGGTAGAGCAACATTTCAAAAAATGACAGTGGCTAGAGAGATTGTCATTTTTATGAATCACAGCACTAGCCTGCTCCACTCTCATCACCATTAACACCCCCAACACCACATTTTTTATAGAGTATTTACATAGAAGAAGCTAGTGTGGTCGTGGATGGGAGACGGTTTGCAAACGCTCGCCCGTTCGTGAGATGGATTGTAAATGTTGCGAACTGGCGACTGCAGTTCGCGAACCGTGAGGGTCGCCGCTGGTACGGAACATATATGAACCGCCGGTGAAGTCATATCTCACGGTATGCCGATACGACAGATATTCCGGAGAAGCTAAAGTCTGAGCAGTGAGTGCCCGACATACAACGCCCGCGAAAGTCTGGCGGTGTACTCTACAGTATCCAAACAACGAATCCAATCATCTCCCCCGGACTACAGCACGTCAACCCAGCCGCCATCTTTAAACCCAACACACGAATGTCTGAGTAACTGGATCATCTTCGGACCACAGCACCAGCCTTCTCTCCATTTCCATTTGGCAACTAGAAGTCTAAACCCTATTCCGAAGATGATAATGCTTGAGCACCTCCGAACTAGAGCAACCGAATGAGACGCGTCTGCCCGGGTTTATAGTACTAGTCTTTATTCTCTCTTGAGACATATCAACCCAGCAGCCTCGAGATGCTTGATTAACTAGCATCGCCCTCGTCATCCGGCGATTTTCATCTACCTCAATACGTTTAAGTTCCAAGCATCAAGTCAACGGCCCTGATCGGCACCAGCAAAGTATTCAACCACTGGCAAGACCATATCAACCGGCCCGACTCTATCCCCACAAGTTTACGATCTCGGAGTGGAGCATCATGTCGAAATCAATTCGAAGCACTAGAAAGGTACCAAATCTGGTTCTGCCTTCGCAGGGAAATGCTAATGTTTTTCTGCGGTGCGGCCACATCAGCTGGAATTGTGAAAAGTGGCGAGTCGTGACTGGATCAAGAAAGATTATATCAATAAAGAGGTCCCATGCCCTCTCATCCTTATCCTCCCCAGCATCCTTCTCCTCAGTAGGACACGCTGGATCGCCCTCCTCCTCGTTGGGGATTGTGTTGAGGTGGGGCTTGGGACAAGTAACGGGGGTGGAGGTGTTCGGCGGATTGTTAAGGACCTCATCGTAATAACGGCGGAGGTGGAGGTGATGTGAGGTTGGCGAATTGCTTGTTGAGGGACTGGACCTAACGAGCGCGGAGTTTTTGCTTGACGGTTGCCGAGGGGGGTAGAGTGTCAGCGGAGGAAGGGAGGTTGTGGAGAGTGTCCAACGGGGACAACTTTTTTTAAATTTTTTAGGTCTCATGTCACACCAACATGTGCGGTACGCCAACCACCAGTGGCGTCCTTCGGGCGTTGCCCCTCATTGTGCGTACAATGTCCCGAATTGTCAGAAGTATTGTGATGTTTCGGCTTCGGAATGCCACAGACGACAATGGACCTCAGAAGGACAGCACGGGAAAATCATTCGAGTGGCAAGGCCTTGGACAATTCGCAGGTGGTCGGAATCAAAACAGGCAAATGGGGAACCTCTCGTTAAGGTTCCAAAGGACAACGCCCATTTGATTAATCTACAATGGACCACCGAGGAACAGGCCAAACTACAACAATTGGTTGACCATTACGAGTCTCAGGGTGAAGGAGGTACCTGGCGGGTGCACCAGTGGAGGTTGGCATGTTTCTCGCTCGTCCTTGGTGATACGGAAGATAAATATCCAGGGGGTGATTGGAGAGAGGCATGGCCCTTGGAAACTTGGGTGCAGTCACCAATATTCCGGTGGTTGAGGGCAAGACGGGGCGAGGGCGGCGCTGGACGGCGACGGGCCGGGTTTTGGGGCGAGGAGGGCGGCACTGGACGGTGACCGACCGGTATTAGGAGTAGTGTTGGGAGATTGCCCAAGACCACAGCTCAAGGACAAAAGCGAGGGAAGTAATGTTGTGGTCATGTAAACACAGATCATTAACTGCTGGGCTTGATGGGCCACCTGTTCGGCAAACTCGACCAAGGCAGGATGGGTTTGCTGCCGGCCGGACCGCCGTAGTCAGTCTGTGCCGCACTCATTCTCCAAGTTGCCGACACAACGTATTCAGTCCTCAGCATCGGAGTGCTAGATCCAAGTTCCGGCTGAAAGCAGATGGCATTCACCTACGATGCGCCTACGGTGTCGAGCAATTCCGGCACCAAGGCCCTGCTTAGCTTTCCCCCCCACTGGCTGACCTAACTATCGATGACTTGCAGTCTTAGACAAAGCATCGAAAGATTTCCTCGTAAAGTTGTACCTCGCAGTATGCATCATCCTCGATGCTCTTGATTCGAAAAATCTTCTGCATACTGGTTTCTGAGATCGTCGTGCAAAACATCGGAAGAGTTCCTCGTAGAGCTGTTTAGTTTCGGAGATCAACCTTTCTGCCGTTTGTCGTGCGTAGTCTTCCTGAAACCCTGGAGTGCTGGGTTCTGGCTTTTGAAAACGACTTCGAGGCGAGACCGGTTCGACAAAATTCTGCTTTGGTTGAAGTGTCCTATCGATGGCAAGAGTGTATCGGTATTTGATTCCATCTTGACCACTTCTTTCGCTTCTTTATCTCCTTAAGCTTTTTGCAAGCCTCTCCTTCAGGAAACACCTTTCTCCCCCAATACTCTCTTCATCAGATTCATAATCTAATGAAAAATGTGCAAGATGGTGTAGCATAGCCAGAATGTCATCCAGGTTCCTCGTAATATCCTCGAGGCATGAATTGTCCGTCATTTCGTCTTCTCTGGGTGAAGCGCCGCATATTGCCATGAAATGGTTCGCCATAGATTGAATTAACGGACGGGTTTGTCGTCGACGAAGAAAGCGTTGGACAGAATCCAATGATTCTGCATGCATGCAGCTAATGAATGTTTCCGATGGGAGGCACAGTCCGTCCAGGTGCTTGTATTTTGAGCGGTGTATCCTCCAGGCAGATAGATAGATCACAATCCGGTCGTCGACAGTCAGGTCAATGACAATCAGATCACGGTCGTCCAACGAAAAGTTGTCGCGACTCATTCCGTCAATTGAGTCGAGTCGCATTCCATGGCTGCAGAGAGGTTTTGCCGGGCATGACTAGACACCCAAGAATACAACTGACATCTCTGGCAGGACATAGGTGACTCACAGCACGGTGTACAGCCTTTGCGGGGAGCTTCTCGACTTGTGAGAGATGCCATCTATTCGAGCTGTGGTGAACGAAGATGTCGTCCCAACGGTTGTAGCTTTCTGGGCCGTAGCTTTCAGGGTCGACAATGCAAACCCTGAAGGGGTATATAGGCGTTGGGCTCGTAGGGAGGGCATTGGTGGAGATGTCATCAAGTTTCCGTTTCTTCTGGAGGGCAGAAGCAATGATTGTCGGTGGCGTTGCACGTTTGTGGGATGGTGGCTGCAGCTTCGGAGTCCCGGGATACCAGGTGTCTTTCTTGACATCGCCTTTGCCACGCTTGGAGTTGTCGCAGTTGTCGCAGTTGTCGGAGTCGTCGGAGTTAGGGTCGGTATCGGTATCGGTAGGTAAAGGTGGGTTTTCTTTGTGATATCGGTTCATCTGCACCCGAGTTTTATCGAAACAGTCTCGGAGAAACGCCCGGAACCCACTCCACCATTCCATGTATCGTGGTTGAGTCGATGCCCGATGCTTCCACATCCCCTGAAACTGTGCAAAGTGCCTCATAGTGACTGGGTCCATCAAAAGACCTTTGGCGGTTCGGTCCTCGGGAATCGTCTGGACAAAGGGTGGTCGCCGGGGCGAGGGGCAAGGGGCGAGGGGGGGAAGATGTCCTCTGGGATGGAGAAGGGATCCTCCAGATCCTCATCCACATCCTCTGGTGGGTTTAGGGTGTTCCTCGGGGTTGTTTGAGGAGGGGGCCGAGCAGGAGTCGGAGGGGGCTGCGGGTCGGCAGGGGCCGCAGTCGGAGCTGGCGCAGGGGCGACCCGGGCGGAAACTGGTAGGACAAGTAGCGGCAGGGCGAGCGGGGCGACCTGGTGGTCTTCATCATATCTGTATCAGTATCCGTAA